GGCATAATCAGATGCCAGGGGAAGCTACAGTGGGGAAAGGGAGGCTGCCGAACTGCGCATGTGTGAGCATGCGCAGTTCAGCCAGGACCCTGGGATGCGCCGGCAGAAGGACGTGCCGGCGATCCCACGGCCGGGCTTGATGCGGCCGTGCTGGAAGGTCCACCTCGGTAGGTGGTGTATTTTTGCTGCAGCTTTTCGGGCGGAAGGGCCGGATCGAGGATGGGTGCGCAACGCTTCCCAGATGTTGCGGTGGGATCGTGCCCATTTGCTGCGCCCCCGATCCGTCCCTCCCGGCCCAAAACCTTTCGTGTGACCGGGGCCATGGAACAACACTCACAGAGTAAGATCACCAAGGGGGAAGGACTAAGGGGAACACTGTCCACTTGGTGGGCTGCTCACATCTGAATGTTGTTTAGGTAGCACGAGAAGCAGGGCCAGCTCAAGTTATTTTGCCACCCCAAGTACAATGGCAGTGCACTACCCACACATCTGCTGCCCCAGTGCCAGCCTGGAGAAACCGCCAGTGGTGCCACTAGCGCATCTGGCGCTCATCTCGCCCCAAGGCAAGGAGGAGATGCCAGCTGCCTACTCCCGTGTCTCTGCCATTGTCAAAATGTGGAGCCCAAAGTGACCCTGGTGGAACGGGACAGAGCAAATCTTTGCCTGGGGGGCCAGTGGTGGCTTTCAGCAGCAACCTTCCCAAAAAAAAACCCCACAGGTTTTTTTTAATAGCTTTCATGGCTGTGGTGTATAGCTTGAAAATGTGAAAACCTGCAAATGCAAACAAAGAAATATCTTGGCTGAGAATTCTGCTGTTCAGGGGAAAGGAGCCATCCCTGTTCATCTGCCTTTTTTTTTTTTTGCTCTAATTGTCCCCCTAAAGAGCTCTAAGCTCTCTCCCTCCAATATCTTTATAAATAAATAAATAAGTCCCAAACCCTGCAGAAATTCCTACAAAAAACCCCCCACAAAGTGTTCAACCAGGATAATGCTTGTAAAACAAATATATGAACCAGATGTTGATGTTTCTGCACATGGCATTCCAATGACAGGATTCTGGATGTTCTGGCAGAACATGGCTTCTTTCTGCTCAGTGTTCATATCACAAAGGTTTAGGGTGCAGGCAGATGCGGTATCGAAAGGGAGCTCAGAGGGGATTCACAAGCTGCTGTGCCAGCCTGGCTACCACACAGCTTTGCGACTGAAATGACAGGCGCATCCACCAGCGAATCGAACGCGCGCTCAGCCATCAGCGTTGTCCTTTCCGCTATGCTTTAGGAAAGCTCTCTGCATTTTTTAAATTTTTTAAAAGCATGATATGAATATTCATACACTGATCTGTTCCATTCACCATTTTATTAGAATGGAGGGTTTCCCCCCCCCTTTAGAATGTGCAAAACTGCTCCAAGGATGGGCGGGCAGGCTGTTTCTTAGCGGTGGGGAAGGGCAACCAACCAGCAATGTGCACAGCCAACTTCTGTTTGATTCCTGCAGAAGCCGTGGGAGCTCTCAGTCCCAGAAGAGGGAAGGTATGTCTGGACTTAGAGGGGCAAAGGCGCTTCTGGATCAGCCTTGCTGCTCTAAAAAGGTTATATGCATCTTCATGCTTACCTACCTTATTGTAGAGTGCGCAGATATGTAGTGCTGTATTCCCAGATGCATTCTGTGCCCCTGGCTCAGCACCATAGAAGAGCAGGTGCTCCAAGTGTTGGGAATGTCCATGTTGGCAAGCCTGGTACAAGGAAAAACAGAATTCAGGAACTGGGGGGGGGGGAGGAATGATCAGAGGTATGTCACAGTCACCCCCCCGGTCAGTTGTAAGACTTGGAACCAATCCCGGCAGCTATTAATCCTTTTGGTTACCTAATCAAGCAGAATCTGGAATCTCGGAGGAGCCGAGGGGCCTGATTAGCAGGTAAGGCCTCACCTGGTGTATCTCCTGCCACCCGTTCTCGTCAGTAGTGCCGATATAGGCCCGATTGTAGAGCAGAAGCTCGCAGCAGCGTGGGTCCCCTCCAACCATGGCTGTGTGGTAGAGCGGAGTCAGCCCACGGCGGTCCTTGTAATTGGGGGAGCCCCCCAAATCCAAGAGTGCCTGAGGGATGCAGGCAGGAAAATATGAATGGCAAAGAAACACTTTTTCTGGGGGGTGGGGCTTAGGCAAATCAAAATTTTGTTCCCCCTCGCACCGGTGGGTCGCATCCAGACTACATGCTTCCGTGGTTGCAAAGATTTCCACCCAAGGAGAGCGATTTTCCTGCCTTCCCCCCCTAACCTGCGGCAGCCCAGAATGCCTCCTGAAATCCTGTTCCTGCATGTCCCCTCTCCCCAAAGAACAGGATTGGGTGGGACATTTCAAAAGGCTGTAAGAGGAGGAAGGTGGGAAAATCACATTCTGTAGGTGGAAACTGTTGTCCTCATGGAAAGGTCCAGGCTGGATACAAGCTAGTGTCTTATATACATGAAGTTGCACAACATTCACATGAATGATCTAGAGTTCAGTGGGACATCCTGTATCAAATTCTACACTTGATTCCACAGTGCAGATCAAAAAATATACACAGTGGGGCCAGGTACAGGAAGGCAAACTAGAAGATCTGTACTGGGTACAAATCTTGGCATAAGAAGTAGGTAGATAGGTGATGACTGACATCAATATTAGGGCTCCCTTCTCATCTGCTGCAACTTAACTCTCAGGTTTATTGTGGCATCAGAGGACTAGCAAGCAATATTACCATGAGGGCTGCATAGTGGTGTGAGCACACAGCTTTGTGCAGTGCGGTGGCTCCATCCCTTGCCCGAAAATCTATGTGGGCACCACCAAGGCACAGCAACCGAATCACATCGATCGTTCCATCCAACTGCGCTGCTAACGTCAAAGGTGTTTCTGCAGAGAGAACACAGGGGTCACTATTGTAGGGGGTTGCAAGAGTGGCAACCAAGGTTGCCCTTCCCTCACCCTTCATGCCTCCCCGTGCTTACCCCCAGTGTCAGAGTCATGATAGTTGGGGTCAAGCCCTTTATCCAGAAGCCGTGCCACTTTCTCAGCTGCTCCATGTTGGACGTACTCTAGGAACTTCTTCAGCCCCGTCTGGGGAAAGATTTGCCAGTGACAGCCATTGAGGGGCAAGCAAGGGAGGGGACAGAATACTGCGGGTTGAAAAGAGGAACACAGCAGAGCTGGACCTGGTACTTAACAGTGCTATCCTAAACAGAGTTACACCCTTCTAAGCCCAATGACTTCACTGGATTTAGAAGGGTGTAACTGTGTTTAGGATTGCACTGTAAGCCTCCCAGAACTTGTACGCATGGAGCTCCCCTGCCTGCAATGACTCCCCAGTTCATTTCAGAGGAGAAGAATCTGCATTTCAGTCAGTGTGGTATAAGGTTGGCATCCCCCTGATGGGGGTGGGTCTCCCCCTGATTTTGAGGCCCTCAAATAAGGAGCCCCGCCCCCAAAGAGCCCTGTCCTGCCTGTCATGCCCGGCAAGATGACATCACTCAGAGCTGATGTCATCATGCTGGGCACATCATGTGGGAGATGCTCTAGCATTTGGGCAAAAAACTCTATGGTGACCATAGAGTCCCCCCCCCAGATACTAGAGTGCCCTGCCTGATGTGCCCGGCGTGGTGACTTCACCTCCGGATGACTCCCGGAGAAGACTCCCGGACCAGGACTCGATCCCCCCCCCCAAAAAGCAGCCAGGTAAGACCTGAAAACCCTACTGTGGTATAGTGGTTGGAATAGGATTGCCAACGGAGCTGAAGTTCTCCTAGAATTACAGCTGATCTCCAGACTACAGAGATCAGCTCCCCTGGAGAAAATGGCAGCTTTGGAGGGTGGACCCTATGGCATCACACCCCTGCTGAGCTCTCTCCCAGGCTCCACCCCCACATCTCCAGGAATTTTCCAACCTGGAATTGGCAAACCTAGGCTTGAATGTCAGACTAGACTCAGGGAGACCAAGGTTTGAATCCCCACTCTGCTGAAGAAGCTTGTTGGGTGACTTAGGGCCCATAGCTCTCAGCCTAAACTACTACTCATGGGATAAAATGGAGGTGGCAGAGAATGCTGTCGTAAGTCAATCTGAGTCTCCATTGGGGAGAAAAGCAGGATATAAATACTTAAATAAATAAGACAAACTAAAGTAGATTCTTTCAGGATCATGGCCACAACCTGGATATAAAACTCACTGTTTGCCTTACAGCTTCTCCTCGTTTAACCTCAGAGCAAATACCATTGCACTTCCCTAATTTTTTTATTTAAAGCATGATACTTCTAGGATTCACAGGTGTGGAGCACTGGGAGTTGATTCCTCTCTAGCAATACTCTACTGTCAATAAGCAATTTAACTAGATTTTCAGCATATGCAAACTCTGGAGTGGGAGGCTGTAAACACATACATCCGAATAAAAACAAGCACTAGGACGCGTTCTAGGTGTTTAAAGAAGTGTTAAGAATCCCAGTCTTCGTTTCCTTGTCATAAAACAAAAGTTTCTTGCCCACATGTATACAGACATTAGCTGGAAAAGTTGCCAGTGCAGAATAGATTGCACTGTTATGCATTAAACTCTGCATTCAGATTGGAGTTTGTTTATGACAAGTTTAAACATGGTTAATTTCATGATCATATGAGCCCTCCTTCCTCTTCTCCCCTTTCCTTCAGAGCCCAGATTGAAGACTGGTTTCAGAAGTCTTTCAATCTAAGCATAACTTGTTTCAACATTTAAACCTATGCTTTTCCACAAACTGAAGTTTGTTTCTTGCTCACAATCTGGGATCCTAAACCTCAGTTTAACAGTGGTTTTGAATCCCATTTTGTGGGCGGGAAGCAAACTCCAGTTTGTTTGAGTACCAATTTGTTGGAGCGTCCAGATTTGAACATCACAACAAACTGTAGTTAGCTTGAAGACTTCCAAAACCAGTCTTAGCTCCATGCATGAGAGCATGGAAGTGTGCAGTAAACAAGACCATATTTGTATGGTCTTTACCAACCTCCAAGGTCAGCCTTCAGGGGGAAGCTGATTCTATAGGAACGGAACTCATAGAGCCCTGACCTGCATTCTAATCAACCTTGCCACTGACTGGAAGGACTTTGTACCAGAGACAGCAGGAAAATTCCTTATGGGTTTACAACTTCTAAGGCAAATTACACAATACATTTTTGGGGCAAGTTGGGTCTGTTGTATGGGGAGGAGGGGTTCCTTCCTCCCCCCCCATCATTTGCCCTAGCTAAAATAGCCCCGGGGGGGCTCCTCCCCATGCTGCAGTTCTAAGCCAAATTGGGTTCCTGCTAGTTTTCAAAATGATGCTCCCTGCACTGCTGTAGGGCTGGAGAGACTGAACCGAATCACCAAAAACCATATTGTGTAGTTTTGCCACTAGATAGAGGCCAGTTCAGGAGGGAAGGGAAGAAGCCTGAAAAAAACCTTCCAGAACTGCCTACAGAAATATGAAAGACTCACTGAAAACCTGAACTGCATTCAACTGAAAACTGCAATTGGCTCCTATTGTCTTTGGACTGTCTCTGTACTGAAATCCTTTGCATTGGGAAACAGAGTGAAAACTGTTGGATCCTGCATCCTGGCAACCAATCAGCACATTTTCTGTCTTATGCTCTGAGGTGAGCTGGAATCTAGGCGACAAGTTCCTAATTTCATCCCCTCCCCCCGAGGCGGAGAGCTCCTGCCCCAATTCCTAGACAGCTGAGAGGGCTCCATTTTCACATCAGCCAGATGGGCATGAGAGGGTTTCTTACAAAGAACTTCAGGACCCCCTGGAGTATCCTTACAGACACCCAGGGGTCTCTGAACCTCACATGGAGCAATGCTGTTGCTAAGCACTGAAAGGAAGCAAATTTATACACAGCCAGGGCTCTAGTCGGGGGGGAGCTCTCAGGTACGGAGCTCCGGAAGAGAACCTCTAGGGGGCGGGGCTGTCACGTGGTGAAGCCCCGCCCCCTTCTTTACCCCGCCCTCTGCTTCGATCCTCATTCCGTTTGGGAATGAGGATGAAGCAGGAGGGTAAGTAGCCGGGCCTTCTGACACACTTCCGGTGATGTCAGGGGGTGTGGCCTTCTGTCACTTCCGGTGATGTCAGGGGGTGTGGCATATGCAAATAAGTTATGCTAATGAGTTATGCTAATGAGCTCCGGCAGCTCTTTTTCTACAACAAGACCCCTGTACACAGCCATCCAGTTCACACAATTTCATTTTCATACAGAACATTTAGGGTCATAGGATTTGAATGCTGTGACTGTAAAACAACTGGGGGGGGGGGTTGAGAGCCACTTTAGACTTTCCTTAGCATACCGCTTTCTTTTTTTGTTTCATTTTTGCTGGAAGGGCTGAAAAGGTCTCTCTTCTTACCTTAGTGTGGAGTTTTGCAAGCTGTTTCTCATCCAGGTTGGTCTGTTTGTAAACTCGGGTCTTGTAGCGGAACTGGAAGAGGTGAGACAATGGGACATTGGGGAATGTTAATATGGTTGCACATGAACCCTATACTTCTCCAAAAAATTTTTTCCTGCTTCTTAACCCTAATTCCATAGTCAGACAGGGAACCTTCAGGACTCCTTCACAGAAGATGAGTTTCCTACATAAAAGTCAAATCTGTGTAGGAAACTGTGTCCATCAATAGTTTCTAGGGGGTGGCTCAAAGTGTTCCCCCTTCCCACCGATCTGTGCCTTACCCCTGTTGCCACTGCTCCTCCTGCCCTGGAGCTGGAAAAATTTACCCTTCCTATCTCTTATTTGTTGCCTTTTGTCTTAAAACACAGTATGGGAAGCTGAAGATGCCTTAAAAAGGCTTCCTGATCTCTCACAAGATTACTTCCTCTCGCAGGAGTTTGGCCACCATTTTAGTTGCCCTAGCAACAGGAAATGATGGTTAAACTCTCACGAGAAGAAGAAACTTCATGAGAGTCTGGGAACTGGCTGGCGTGTACGCTATTTTTGAGGAGGCCTGGTGGAGGGAGTGAGGAGGAAAGTCCCCTCAGGCTCCCAGGCACGGTGTGGTAGTTGTGCGTCAGGTGGGCACTGTCTGGGCAGCTAGCTGGCTGGTGAGTGGGATGGTTGTCACCACCACCCCATTTTGCTGCCTGCTTCAGATCTCCTCATTATAGAATTGTCTTTGTTTCATATAGTGAATGAACACACACAAACGTGGCAGGGAGTCACAATAAGCAGTATGTATTATATAATCAGACACAGGGCTTTTTTTGGGCAGAAATGCACAGGAAACAGGAATGGAGTTCCAACTGGCTCCTGAGTTGGCCACGCCCAGCAGGAACTCATAGGCATAATAGGCCACACCCAACAGCAGAGACTCATTAGGATTGGCTACATTAGGGGTGTATGGCCTAACATGCAAAGGAGTTCCTGCTACAAAAAAAAGCCCTGGGTTTTGACAACAAACAAGGTAAACAGAATAAAAAGCAAAAGGTCGGTGTGGCTGGATGGCCACACTTCTGGTAACATGGGGTTGCGGCTTAATATGCTAATGAGCTGTGCTGTCGGGGGTGTGGCCTAATATGCTAATGAGTTTTTCTGTTGGGTGGGACCTATTATGCTAAAGAGTTCCTGCTGGTCTTTTTGTACAAAAAAAGCCCTGATCAGACATGACAAGCTAGAGGTAGGAATCATATCCTCCAACATTTCACTGATGACAGTAAGAATACTGTTTTCTCTTTGAACGTGTCTGTTCAAAGGTGAAGAGTCAAACAACATTTTATATGGGAGATCAGTAATCAGATATCCCAGGTTTTCGTTAAGAGTAAAGAGCAGCATCAAAGCAGCAGAGAGGGGCTCTGTATCCTCACGACAACCCTGTGTGGTAGGTTAGCCTGAGAGAGACTGACTGGCTCAAGGTCACTCAGTGAGTTTCACTGGCAGAGCCGGGATTTGAGCTTGCGTCTCTCAGACCCTGGACTGACACCACACCATGCTACCTCCTACCTCTGAAGCGGCTGTATTATACCTATCTTTCTTCCCTCACTGGTAAGCGAACCTTGAGGGATATATATATTTTTTAAAATCAGGGATATGGCGTAGGGGGAAGGGTTCGTTCCTTCCCATCAGCAGTGCAGTCCCAATCGCAATTACGCATGCCCCTGCAGCGGCTTTTGGGTCTTAAAGTAAACATAGTGAGATCTAATTGCAGCTCTCCTGCATGACGTATAGTTTCATTTGCCCGAGATTCTACTCTGCCAGCTGCAGGCATTTACTCTGCAACAGCGTGCCCTGTGTGGATTTTAAAGCAAGAAGTGTATTATGAAAGGGGGGGGGGGAACAGGACAGTTGTTGTACAATATGCTGCTAATTCAAAATAAACCTCAGCAGTTGAGGAATGTGTACCATACGGTACCTTAGAGCCAAAATAGATGTGATGCTGGAGTTCACTGCAACGCCAGATGTGGAACGTGGCTCTAAAAAACGGGCCATACGATGTATGTTAACCTGGGTCAGGGCGCCAGGAAAGCATGGGGTTTAATCTACCTCTCATCTACCCTGTACATTTTTATCCCACTGTTCTCCCAAGGACCTCAGGGCAGCACACATCCCTCTCCCTCCATTGTATCCTCACAACAGCTGTATGAGGTGAATTAGGCTTCAAGAGGGTTACTGACTCAAGGTCACTTGCATATGATATATGGCAGAATGAGGCTTTGAACCCACATTTCCCAGATCTGAAATGCTATTCACCCACACCACGTCATGCTGTTTCCCGAATTGGAAACACCCCCTTCTGGGCTGCTTGCAGCCCTGATGGGAAAAGGGAAAACGAAACGGATAATTGGAGGGGGTATTTCTTATGAGGGACATAGCGTGTCGGATGGAAGAGTATTACACTTTCCCCTTTCCCAACTAGATCAGGCCCCCCCATGGCTGCTCTTGAAGATGAAATTGCACATCTGGAGGACCTGTCGTGTTGTTTGCCCCACAACATTCAGGTGTCTCGATTCTATACATATTGATTAGATGCAAGATGTATCCAGCTCCTCCGCCTCCCATCACACTGAACTGACACATCTCTGGGAGAAGAGGGCCAAAACGCAATAATGCACACATACAATTTTATTTTTAAAGATATCTCCAAAATCTCCCCCGGAGGCAAAATAGGGACAAGTGCTAGGAAGCCTGCTAAAACAGAGAGCATATATGAAACTGGTTGCCTGTGGATCCACCTAACAGCCCTTCCAAACCAGGGCCATTTAGAGCTCCCATAATAGTTCCTTGCAGCTTGTTTCATTCGAGTTCATCACCCTTCAGTCTTCACGTGCAAAAAAAATCAGTATGATGGCTGGTAGATATTGGGTATGCCAGTGATGCAGTTATCTGAAAAGTAATGGATCCAGCCAGATTTTCATTAAATCCAGCCCGATTACTTTATTACAGCCTCCATCATACATGGCTCATGCTCATGCAGGTCCCTTGATTCCCAGCATAACTTTTTTGGTGGCCAACATCCTCCCTTTTTCACCAGCAGAAAAGCTGGCTGGATCCAACCCATTGTCTGCAGTGCTGAAGGTGGGACCTTAAACCTATGATGTGCATGCTTGTCTAACTAATGTTTGTGTTCAAACAGGTTCTGCAAATTTCTGTAACGCTTCCAAAAACTGCATCACCTCTTTGACCAGAGATTACAGAGAAACAAAGGGGGGGGGGAAGACTGTTGATACCACAGGCCATGATAGTTTTATTATACTCTCTTGAAAAACTGTTGTCTCCGGACTTAAGTTGTGGGTGGTTGGACCAAAAGAAACATGTGCCATCAACAGCCATTTGAACACAATAGCCACTTGGACAACTTCACCCTTGCCTGCTCCCCTTTAATAGTAAAGTGGCACCCAGAGGATGGGTTAGATCCAGCCAGCCTTTTCTCTAAATCTTGCTCCATTTCCCTCTTTATTACAGCCCCTGTCACACTTGGCTTTAGTTCATGCAAGTTCCATGATTCCCCAGCAGAGTAATTTAAGTGGCCAAAGGGGACCCTGTCCTTCCTTTTTCGCCAGTGGAACAGCTGGCTGGATCCCGCCCAACGTCTTCCTGCCCTATAACTACAAAAGTCCTCCTTCGTCTCAGCGCTCTCCCCATGTATACTGGGGAGTCAGCGGAATTACCTCCAGATAGGGCACTCCCTTCTCGAAACTCTGTGGGTATTCGCGCAAGAGGCGTTCTTCATCCAGGAACTTGGCATCTCGCCCGTTGGTGGCTGGCTGGAAAAGCCCATAGTTCAGCACGTCCTTGAGGCTTTCGTTGAGGGTGCAGAGAATCTGTTGCTTTGCCACCCAGATGGCTGCATCGGGGTTGAAACGAAGGCATTTCTGAAAACGGGACAGGGGGTTGAGACCTAAAAGGAGGTGTCACACCAGCACAAAGAATCCTCTGCCATAAAGCAGAGGAGCCATACAGATGGCAGTGCCACCAAACCATTGGCAGTGGAAGAGTGTGGTTGGAAGATACAGACAGCCAGATACCCCAGGATGAGAGCAAAGGGTAATTTGGTCGTCTGTATGGGGATTACTGCCCTGATTCTTTTAAAAATCTACCTGGACACTGAGATTAATCCTGCCCTGTCCTTTTCAGTACTGGTATATTCCAAGTGATTTCTTTTTAGTAAGCCTGCCAGTAGATCAAAGAGTTTTTAGTTGGTGAATTACCTGCCTTTTGATCAAGTTGTCAATTAGATTTTAATAAATTTGCATAGTATTAAGACTCCCTCCTTTTCAAGAGACTGTAAAATAGTTTATGGTGTACTCAATGACACCTATTATTAAAAGAAAGGGGCATTTTAAAATGTTTTCTTTTCCGTTCCCTGTCATGGTAACACACCGGGGGGGGGGGATAGCTCTAAAGAATCAACAAGGATGCCTTTAACTCACAGCTGCAAGTGATTAATCAACTACAGACTGAGATGATTATTTTATGGATTGAACCCAGCAGCCCCGATTTTTTTTTATTCTGAATCACAGAATTCCAGGCCAAAAAAAAAAATGCATGTAACTGGTACAGAAACTGAACTATTGAGAATGTTTGTGTTCAGAAGAACTGTATCATGGTTGTAGGGATATATCTGTAGACAATTTAGGGATAGGATTGATCTTCCATGTGGCGGTGCACCCCCTCTTCATGCCCTTCAGGCATATGTACTTTTTGAATTGTCTGTCCTTCCTCCTACCATCATACAGGTATGCTGCTCCAGATGGAAACTACTGGATTTACCATCAAGCATGCTAAATGATAACTTGGATATACATTTGCAGAAGGGGTATTTGAACAGCATGATGTAGGTCACTTCTGCATGGAAGGTTTCATTGGGTCTCGGACATGGTCCGTCAGCTGTGTACAGCCCTATATCCTACTACCTTGAGGTACACAGCAGATCTAGGAAACTGGCCCTTTGTGTAGGGGCTGTGTGAAACCCACTGCGATGAGGGTGCAAATTGAAGTCCAGGTGCTTTCTGTCTTCTCAGCTGAGAGATCAAGTTTGCCCTGGGAGTGGGGAAAATCTTCCCATGTGTGTGCATGATGTCTATTACGCACAAGATATGAATGTCCAAGGTACAGAATGCGCACCTTGTGGCATCAAATACCAAAAACCTGTGTTGCTGAATAACATAAATCTGAAATGAATAGGAATGGAGTTCCCCGCCCTTGGCTGTCATTGTAGATCTCCCTGTGGAATCCGCAGTACATCTTAGCTCCATTCTAGAGCTTGGCCTTCTCTCCTTCTGACTTTTCTCGTGGCCCCTACCTCCTTCCTTCACCTCCTTCCAACTTCCAGGGTCAGAAGAGGGGTGATGGAGGGACAACCAGCTAGACACATGCTGGCAGCTCCATCCCCGTTTCCATGGACACGACAATTTGTGATCTCTAGCAACCGTTTCCATGGTTGCCCCTGCAAATAGAAAAGGGGACCCAGATGAAGGGGGAGCATCACTTTAAAAGAGCAGCAGAATGTTTGGAGTGGGTGGGTGGGTTAGGACTTGTCATCTGTAAAGGTATACAGATCAATGAACAACTTCAGGTAGTCGGTGTGTGTGTTTTTTTAAAATCCCTGTCCCTAAAATGAAAATCAGCATGATGCTCCTGGGTGGGAATTCGTATGTAGATCTGACCCTGTCAGACTAGGTCTCAACAGGAGTAAGGAGTGGTTAGCTCCATTTATAAATTTTATTGTGCCCTTTGTCCAAGGAAGTACATGGTTCTCCCCCCCCCCCCATTTCTCCCGCAATAACCTTATAAAGTAGGTTAAGGCAGCTGCCCACAGTCTCCCAATGAGCTTCATGACTGAGTGCACTAACCACTACACAATGTCATGCTATAGCTCACTCCAGAAATGAATGGTCCATGTATATTATTCCTCTGGCTTTGCCAAGTCATCACTTACTGGAAGTAGTTCAAAGAACTCGAAAACATTATTTGGTGAATCTTGGGCTGCTGGACCTTCTGGTCTCCTGTGGTAATAATCTTTGTACCCATGTGTGTGTGCGTGTGTGCGTTTCTGACAACACTTCATGCATCTCAAGAAATGAGGTCATCATTATTAGACTACTATAATATGCTCTACGTGGGGCTGCCCTCGGAGACAGTTCAGAAGCTTCATTTGGTACATGCTGCCGCCAGAGTCCTTTACTAGAACTCATCAGCATGAGCACATAAACACTGATATTTCAGCAGCGCCGGTTTCTGATTTGTTTCCAGGCTCAGTTCAAGATGCTGGTTTTGACCTTCAGCGTCTAAGTGGTTTCCAGACTACCTAGATGACAGCCCTGCAGCTCTATCAACCTCTCCAGGTTCTGAGACCCACACATGGTGCCCTCTTGGGGCAGCCTTTAAGTTGGAGCCCCCAAACTGTGGAATGCTCTAAGATCTTCCCTATAGGATTCTGGGGCAAGCTGAAGACATTCCTTATTCTGGAAGGCCTGTGAACAGTTGTGTGTGTGCGTGGAGGGGGGTGGGTTGTTCCTGTATTGCCTCTGTCTTTCTATGAATGTTGCATGCTGTTTTATTGTATCTCAAATGTTGCTGGCTTCATATTTTTAATTGTTAGCTTGGTTGAGGGTCTGGAAAGGCAGCATATATTTAAAAACGCAAGTATCTCTTGTATTGTTAGACCTGTTGGCCTCGCTTTGCCAAAAAAAAGGGTGTGTGTGTCTTCCCTCTGAATTTAGAGTCTATAATTAGGTGAGCAAGGAGATGATAGAAACTATGGATCATATAATGCTTTTTTGTCCTAAGTGGAATAAGGAAAGAGAGAGATACATCATTCCTGTTATGAGAAAAGAAAAGCTTCCCCTCCTTCCTTGGGTAGTTTCAGTGCTATTGTCTGATAACTTCCCTGACAATCAAACCACGGCTATGGTGGCTTCCTTTCTAGCTGCGGTGATTAAGAAAACAAATCTCCCTGTGTTTAATTAGTTTACTGCTAATAACTGTCGACCTTTTAAGTGTGTGTTTTTTTAAAAAAATTATTTTATTTTATCCTGTACAGTTGCTATGGCTTTTTTGCTAATGCAATAAATATTATTATTATATATTATTATATTAGGTGAGCAGGAGGGAAGGTGGCACGGCATAGCCCAATTTTGTCAGATCTTGGAAGCTAAACAGGGTCGGTACTTGGAAGGGAGACCACCAAGGAAGACTCTGCAGAGGCAGGCAATGGCACAAACCACTTCTTTTTGCTCCCTTGCCTCGAAAGCTCCTTGCTGGGGTCGCCGTAAGTTGGCTGTGCCTTGATGGCATTTGACACACACAATTAGGTAAGCACAGCATGAATCTGATCAAGTGGGCTCCGGCCGATCAAGGCTTGTTTTTTAAAAATTGTTAGCCTTTCAGTTGCCACAAGACTCTCTGCTGTTCTTGTCTTAAAAACAAGTGGGGTGCATGCAGGAGAGGGAAATCCCCTGGCCATGTATCGGGGAGGGGGTGTGTGCTTTGAAAATGAGGATAATGGAACAGAATTAAGGCAAGAGGGAGGGCTAAGAGAAAGGGAACAGGGATCAGGTGGCCAGTTAACGGTAAATAGCAATAGCAATATAAAAGTCACAAATGCTCCGTTTTTCCAGAGGCAAGATGAGCTCTGGGCTTCTCTCTGGAACAGGTGCATTTTACTTGATTGGAAACCTGCAAGATGGGGCCGATTAAAATTAAATTTTTGTATGCCACCTAAGATCATTGAAGTGTTTCAGGAACGGATGAGACTCCCAAATCACTGTGTTTTTTCCCTTCCAAAACATGCGGCATTTGAAGGTCCCATAAACACCCGCTTTCCCTGCTCAGTTGTGTGTACGGCTGCCATCCTCCAGGTGGTAGCGGGAGATCTCTTGGCAACAGAGATCAGTTCGCCTGGAAAAAATGGCCACTTTAGAAGGAGGACTGTATAGCATGATACCCTGCCCTCTCTAAACCCCACCCTCCTAGGGTTGCCAGCCCCCACCCGGAAGTGGTGTCATTGCACCGCCAATGTTGTGTGGTGACACTCTTGTTTTGGGGCAAAATTCTATGGTAAAATCAGACTCAAACCGTAGAGTTTTGCCCCCCATTGCTGCACGATGTTGGCGGTGTGATGACATCACTTCCGGGTGATGTCATTGCACCGTGGATGCAAAGAGCAGGCGGCAGAAACTCCAGTCAATCCCCCTGCTGGCAGAAAGGCAGGACCTGGCAACCCTGCACCCTGCTCAGGTTCCACCAACCCAGAGCTGGCAACCCTGGCTGTGTGTTCTGTGTGGAGAGGGAAAGGGATTCTGAACATGGCCAGAGATCCTCTTACCTTCCTCATTATCTTGATTGTTACTGCACATATTCCGGGAAGGAGACTGGCCTCACTAGCAGCCCAGTGAGCACATAAATTAAAATAATTTTAAAAATAAATCTTATATTTATATCCCACTTTTCTCCCCCGTTAGGGACCCAAAGCGGCATGCTGCATTGTTTCCCGTTTCTCCACTGTATCCTCGCAACAACAACCCTGTGGGGTAGGTTAGGCTAAGAAAGTTTTACCGCTGCCTGATTGCATTGCTTTTTACATTTTGTAATCCGCTCTGAGTGTCAGTGAGAACGGCGGGCTACAAATAAAGTCAGTAAATACCTAAATGAATAAAGTGTGACAAGCCCAAGGTCATCTGGTGAGCTTTCACGGCTCAGCAAGAATTCAAAAACCTGGTTGTCCCAGGTCCCGGTCCAACCCTATAACCACCATGTCACACTGGCTCTCATTTCCGAGGTAATGCAGAAATCATAGAGCAGTGTGGACTTTCTGGGCGGGGTTTTTTCACAACTCCTGGGGGGTTCACAACACAAAAATAGATCAAATAACCTTAGTGAGCCCCCTTAGAGGTGTTGGGAAAGGGAGGGCATACACAGATTGCCAAGACACTCGCATCAGTCCATGAAATGAGGAGCTGGCTTGTAAACGCTGACACTTCCAGGGGACTCATGGAGGATATGCCCTGGCCTGGTTGGCCCAGACTAGCCTCTTGTCAGATCTCACAAGCTAAGTAGGGTCTGCCCTGGTTAGTATTTGGATGGGAGCAGGGGTCATTTTGTAGAAAAAGAGGTGCAGGAGCTCATTAGCAGAACTCATTAGCATAACTTATTTGCATATGCCACACCCCCTGGTGTCACCGGAAGTGTGTCAGAAGGTAACACCCACTGCTCAGGCTCCACCGGACTGTTTTGGATTGCTAGCTATGGGGGGGGGGGCACAGCTCCTTGGGCTCCTCGTGGCCCGGGGCTGCTGGGAGCAGTGGGCAGGGCTTGTTGCATGTGCCCGCCCCCTGGGCTCTTGACTGCCGGAGCTCCGCTCCTGTGTGCTCCTGCAGGAAATGACCCCTGGATGGGAGCCCACCAAGGAAGTCCACGGTCGCTATGCAGAGACAGGCAATGGCAAACCACCTCTGTTCCCCTCTTGCCTTGAAAACCATATGGGCTTGCCATAAGTCAGCCATGACTTGACGGCACTTGCCACTGCCTCCATGGGCCATGTGCGCAGCCGTGCAGGGAAACTGTGGGAAGGGTGGAGAGAGAATGTGCAGTCTGCATAGGTCTGTAGCCAGTTCTTTGTATCAAAGGGTTGCTGGATGAAAGGACCGGTGCTGGTGGCGATGTTTGTGCGTGCATTGCTGAGTGTCCTGGTTTTATTGCTAATGAAGAGAGGGAAAAGGAGCAAGTTCCCTTTAGTGCTGAGCTAAGGATGAATCCAGTCCTGCATTAATTACCCCTCTAGAGACTGAGGTGGGGATGGGGTGGAGGCAGAGCCAAGAAGGGAAGCCCTGGTTTCTTTTGGCCCGTCGGAAACTGCCCTCCCCCTCATGTCTCGCTGTATTCCTGGCGCCCCATGTTGCAAAATCAAAGATCTGAAGGATGTCTGGTGCAATACACACCGCTGTCCGTTAATGTTCTTCCCTCCTAATTTAGTTCATTTGGCCAAAGGTCACAATGCTGTCTGCAGACCGCAGCATCCCTGAAGAGAACAGGGATGAATAGGAAGCCTCAGAGAAGACGAAACCCACCCAGGAAGAACCATGCAGGATCATCAGGGCTGCAGTGCCGAGTTGGATTAAGCAGACCGATCGATTAACAAGGGCCGATCATCGAAAAAGGCGCTCTGATTAATCAGGCAGTAGATTTTTTAAAAATGAGAATCATTGCACCCTGCTTCCCCCCCCCCCCAGTGGGGATCCAAAGCAGCTTATAACATTGTTCTACCCTTCTCCTCCTTAGTTTCACAACAAGAACCCTTCAAGGTCGGCTAGGTAGAGTGAAAGAGTGGCTGGTCCAAGGCCACCCCATGTGCTTCCATGGCAGAGCTGGAATTGGAATATTGGTCTTCCAAATCTTAGTCCAACACTCCACCCACTGTACCTTGCTGGTTCTCTTTTAACAGCAGGCGCTTATAAATCCATGCATGACAAGTGCCCTCTTAGAAGTAGCATCTCTCTTTCTCTCCCATAAAGGGCAAATGCCTCTTCAGGCTTCAATTGGACAAAGATATCCATGACTGGGTCTCCCAACATCTCCAGTTTTCTCAAAAAGCAATGCCTGGCTCAGGATTGTAGTGCTGGGGTGGGGTGGGGTGGGGTGTCAATCCCCCCCCCACTGTTTCCCTAGAAGAAATCAGACCCCCCCTCCCCACCCCCTGCACCTCTTTCATCTCTGGCAGGGTACAGAAACAGAGAGACCCAAGCATAGGTCTTGCTTGCCTGGTTAATTCTTCAGAGATGGTGGGGTTGGATCCAAGCGGCTTTGAAAAAGGGAGGAGAGGTCCTCTCTGACTACCCAAAAAAGCTGTGCTAGGGATCATGCAGCCTGCATGGGCAAAAGCCTTGTGTGACGTGGGCTGTAGCAAGGAGGGGAATTGGGCAAGACAGAGCCCCCAAAGCCACATGTGTGCCTCAGTTAAAAACAAAGAACAGATGCCTTTTCTTTAGAAAGATTGTTTTACTCATGTGCCATTTAAATCAATTAAAACTCACACAAATTCATTGACGATGATTTTGTTAATCGAGTGAGAACAATCCAGATGGCTCAATCAATGGAACCAACACACACACACACAAACACACAAAAGAGAAAGGGGTGGGGATTAAAAAAGAAAGAAACCTGGCATCCCTGGATCTATTCTAGGTGAATGTTCTACCCTGGTCAGACCAGGAACGCTTGCCTCCCACCTCAGCTAAACATCATGCCTATGGTGACCCTCCATGTTTTCTCGTGCCTTCCCCCCACCCTGCCCCGCCCCCCTCCTCACCGTCTGGTGCAGAAATGCCGATTCGGAAGACCATCATACTGAAGTGGGCGTCTTCAGGTACTGACATGGAGTGATTATGGCCCGGGTTAGCAGGGCTGGCCGGGGGGCTGGCCCCCTCGCGGGAGCTCTCCGAGCCCGACTCCCCCTCGGGGCACTGGGAGAGGTGCTCCTCCTCCGCACTTGATTCGGGGCTCTGGGGCATCGTCAGGGGTGCTGGGCACCATCACTGGCTACACTGTAAGGGGGGAAACAGAGAAAGAGATGGTTGGGGGGGGTGACGAGAAAAAGGTACTAGGTGTGGTTAAGCAATGGCTCCGCTCGAAACAGAAGGTATCGTTTCTTGCACATACATGCCCGTACCAAGTATGCACTCATCATGGATGTAAATACTAATAGAATAGAGTAAAGTTTATTGTATGTGGCCGTTGTGCTAATAGGGGCACACCAAAATGTCCGCCTGCGCATGCAAATTTACCTCCAAAGTGGAGAAGAACAGATCCCACCCCCCGCCATGCTATCAACTTTCTCAACACAAACCAGAAAGGCAGTGGTCTTCTACTTTTCCAGATAGGCTTGTCAAGTCTCCCCGGGGGGGCGGGGAAATCCCCGCCCCAGAGGCCCGTTCCCTGCCGGCGGTGGATTGGGCCCCGAGGGGAACCCCACCCCGGCGTGCGCGTCACCAGAAAGTGACGTTATGATGCCGGGCACGCTGGGGGCAGGGCAACGATCATCCAAGGGAAAACTCTATGGTTTTCCCTTGGATGGTCGTGGCCCTGCCCCCAGCGTGCCCGGCGTCATAACGTCACTTCCTGGTGACGTGTGTGCGGTGCACGCGCGCTCCAGCCACAGACCGGGAGTCCCCCGGTAAGGAGATTTTTCAACTTGGCAACCCTATCTCCAAACCAGGAACAGCCCCTGGTGGCAGCAAAGGCCCCACCTAGGGTTGCCAACTCCAGGATGGGGAAATTCCTGGAGATTTCAGGGTGGAGCCTGGGGATAGTGGGGTTTGGGGAGGGGAGTGCCACAGAAGCCGCCCTCCAAAGCAAACATTTTCTCCCTGTAACACAGTCACAGTTTGGAAATTCGTTGTAATTTTGGGAGGCTTCCAGGCCCTACCTGGATGTTGGCAACCCTAGACCCATTGAATGGCATGCCTACGACAGGAAATCACATGACAGGAAGAAGGGGGCAGCATCAGGATCAAACCAGTGTTGAAGTAAGCACCATAGGCAGGAGACCCAAAAATCAGGGACAGGAAACCCAGTCCAAGTGCCAAAAAGCGTACTGTGGTGAGGACCAGCATTCCCTCTCAGCTGAGTTCATGTGAGCTAACTCACAGTTTTTAAGCCTCCGGCTCACACATCTTTGTCTTCGCTCAGGAAGGATGGCTCCGGAACAAACTAATTTATGGAGTAGCCAAATTGCTCGCTCACAACTTTAATGACAGTAGCTCATAAAGTAGAATTTTTGCTCACAAGACTCCACAGCTTAGAGGAAGCATTGGTGATGACCAGGGGTCATTTTCTGTAGGAGCGCACAGAAGCGGAGCTCCGGCAGTAAAAAGCCCAGGGGGCGGGCACATGCAACAAGCCCCACCCCCTGCTCCCAGCAGCCCTCAGTCAGAGCAAGAAGCAGCCAGGTAAGTTGCAGAGCTCCCCCCAGCCTCCCAGTCCAAAACAGTCCAGTGGTACCTTTAAGACCAAGTTTTATTCAGGTACAAGCTCTCCCTCCTCTGTGAGGACAGATCTGCACGTCCCCCCCCAATAGCTAGCAATCCAAAACAGTCCACTGGAGCCTGAGCGGTGGGTGTTGCCTTCTGACACACTTCCGGTGATGTCAAGGGGTGTGGCATATGCAAACAAGTCATGCTGATGAGTTATACTAATGAGCTCCTGCACCTCTTTTTCTACAAAATGACCCCTGGGAGGACCAAGCCTCCAGGTGGGGCCTGGGGATTGCCCGGAACCACAGCTCCTCTCCAGACCACAGAGATCAGTTCCCCTGGAGAAACTGGATGCTTTGGAGGGTGGACTCTACGGCATTGTACCCCACTGAGGCCCCTGCCCTCCCCAGGCTCCCTCCCCAAATCTCCAGGAGTTTCCCAACCTGGACATAGCAACCCTACCCCTCCCCTGCCAGTGGCCAGGGGGGACTTGGCAACCCCAGGACCAAGCCAAAGGTCAATGCCGTGGAAGAATCCTCTCCACCACCGAGTGGCCTCACCTTGTGATCCTACTACTCTTCCTAGGATGTTGCAGAGACGGAACATGTGGAGGACCTACTCTCTACATGAGCACGCTAGCAGGAGATCCTTCCAAAAATTTTATGGTCGCTCATGGCTCAGCAGATGGGCTCCATCACCCACCTGAGGGCCTCCACCACGAAGACCATCACATTAAGGGTTACAGGCAAAACTAGCAAGGTCAGTCACGCTACTTTTGCTGCATACATTTGTCATCTGAGGTCACTGCATCGAAGCCATACAACCAGATTGCCGCAGGTACATTCAGTTGCCGGGGGGGGGGGGGGGTGTTACATGTTGAAATGAGCTCCCAGACTGGTCATAGAGAGTGAACCCTGTGAGGCACACGTTCTTAAATGAACAGTCACATTCACACACACATTTACACATGCCAATAACTCTATGCAAACGGATGCACAGAATTTGTCTTGGCCTGGCTGGTACCTCCAGATGGGGATGGCCTCACTTCTCCGGGCTTCCTGGTCCTCTTAATTTCTGTATTTCATTCTCATCTTCCACCTCTCATTGCCCTGTTGCCCCTCTCTGTTCCCCCTAAATGTGATTTCCCCCTTCCCTATGGGTGTAAATGCCTCATCTCTGGTCCTTATCCCCCTTCCCCACCTCTGCTGAACGATCCCTTCTGCCCTACCTCCCACCCCAGTCTCCTTCACTGACTTTTCGTGCTCCGCGTCCCAGTTTCCAGCCGGCCCCAGGGCCCAGGCAATCTGGATGCACGCGGCACACGACGTCCCAGAAAGCAGAACGGTCCTGGGACGCCTGCCCCACTTTTGGCCTATAATTAGCCCAAAAGGACACAGTTCTCCCTACATCTGACATTACCACGTCCACTTTGGCCTGATATCTCAGACGCACCTGCCCAAAGCAAAAAGAGCCACTCCTGGTGTCCAGGTGTGGACCCATTCTACAAAGATCCTGTGTGTGACACGGTGAAACTCCCAGCTTTCATCCCACCTCACTTCCTGCAATCAAAGCCATGGGCTTCTCCCCTGTCCATTCCTCTAAAGGGCCATGATTTGAAGACCACTACATTTGTGGCTAGAACGTTGGCCTGATCTGAGAGGCCCAGGCTCAAATCCCTACTTTACCATGAGACTCATTAGTGTGCGATCATCACACACACTGAATAATCCACTTTCGATCCACTTTCCAACTGGAATTTACTGTGTGAACTGGCGAGATCCAGTTGGAAAGTACATCGAAAGCGGATTGAAAGTGGATTATTTCACGTGTGTGAACACAGTCCCTCCCGCTTGTGGCCTAATCTTCTTCATCGGGTGGTTGTAAGAGCAAAACAGAGGAGGGGAGAACCACTCCTGCCGCTCTGAGCCTCTTGAATGAAGGATGGGATAAAAATATCCTGGTTAAATAAACGAAAACAGGATAAATGGGGAAGGGTTGCCAGGCGCATGACTGGAACCCCGGGAGACTTTGGGGGTGAAGGAAAGGGGGGAAAATACATTCTTGGTGTCACTTCCAGCTAAGCCCCAGAAGTGACATCACCAGCACACTAGGATTTCACTGCTCTCTTTGGTAAAATCTTATAGATCAATGAAATCCTAGAGCGCAGGTGGTATCATGTCCTGGTTTTAGGCAGGAGTGACGCTAACAGATTGACAATGTCTTCTACAACTGTTTTGCCCCCTGCCACTCATTTAAGCAGGGTTCAGGAGGCATTGGTGAGTTATCGCCCACTATGGTGGTTAAGCTGGCAACCCTAGATGTTAGAGAGCCAGGAAAAAAAACATTCTCTTGAGGAAATCAAGTGGGTGGGGCTAGTGATTCACACACGTTTTTTGTCCTGCTCTGCAGTCAACATGAATTGGCTTTTTTTGGTACCACGGACGCATGTTCAGAATCCATCTTTGGAACAGTTCAGCACGTTCAGGTGGGTCCAGCCCACTTTCCCACTCTCGCTCAGTTACCCTCCTCATTACGGGCCCTGTCCCCTTATGACTTTTTAATAAATAAATAAATATCATGTCCTGGTTTTAGGCAGAAGTGACGCTAACAGATTGACAACGTCTTCCCCAACTGTTTTGCCTGCCACTCATTTAAGCAGGGTTCAGGAGGCATTGGTGAGATATCGCCCACCATGGTAGGTAAGCTGGCAACCCTAGGTGTTAGAGAGCTAGAAAAAAAAACATTCTCTTGAGGAAATCAAGTGGGTGGGGCTAGTGATTCACACACGTTTTTTGTCCTGCTCTGCAGTCAACATGAATTGGCTTTTTTTGGTACCACGGACGCATGTTCAGAATCCATCTTTGGAACAGTTCAGCACGTTCAGGTGGGTCCAGCCCACTTTCCCACTCCTCATTACGGCCCCTGTCCCCTTATGACTTTTGCCCCTGCAGGTCCCATAACCTTTTTGGTGATCAAAGGCGGCCCACTCCTTCCAGGGGAAAAGCTGCTTGGATCCAACCCCTGTGCCCGTTTCTGGTACAATATACCATGCGAAGCGGATCGGAAGTGGGTTGAATCAGATATGCTGACACGCCGTAAGCACATGGCTTCTGATTCATGTACAAGACTCACTCAACTGTGCAAATTCAGTGTCTCCTATGAACCACAACGGTTTGAACTTCCATGGATGTTTACAGCTTGATACTGTAAATACTCCCGACAGAAATGAGTAACAGTCGTGTTTAGACCATTTAACACAAGAGCTAACAACACCGAGTAACACCTCAACTGTTACAATGATTCTAAAACTTCATCACATGGAGGAAACCAGACGTGAGACACAAAGCCTTGGCACAGAGATAAGCCGTCCCTTTCTGTTGTACGCAGTCAGAGAACTGGCAATTTCTGCTTCCCCAGAAAACAAGTCTTTGCCTATCCGAAACAGAAAACAATGATTTTGCACTCTATCTGCAAATGGGGAACAGGGCTGTGTCTCCAGCCAACCTGTCCAAGTGACTGGTTGAAGGTGGCAGAGTACG